GAAAGCTTTTACTCCTTTCGTCCTTTTTCACTCCTCTATGTCTGTTTCTAAGCAAAACTGCAAACAGCCTCTGCTCGCCTGAACTTCAGTAGTAGTTAAACATTTAGAAAGGGGCAAAGTTCAGGTCCCATCCTTCATGCTCCACTCGAATGCTTCGTCCCTAACTGGTCGCTCTATTGCCGCTTTAGCTGCAACCTTTCCTGCAGCAGCCGTCTCTCGTCCTCCCTCGGCTACGGCCGCTCACCTTTGAGAGAGTCTGGGAGGCTTTTTCAGACACACCAGGCTACGCACATATATCTACACATATGCTTCATTTGACATGTTTTGTTTTTGGGTGTCTCTGTATTAGAGCATTTTCATTATACCCTTGTGGTCTTCTGACTTACGCAATAGACTAGAAATCTGCCATTGGTCAGATTTCTCATCCATTATCTCCTCCTCTTTTGACGCATCTTCACTCCGGTCAGGTCAAACACAGATCTTCAGTACGCCTTCAGCGAGTCAACAAATGAGTCACGTGACTGACGACACAAGCGACTTACGTGAACAGTGGCGGATGGGAGTTTTGTGCGGGACATAAACAACGGACTTCTCGGCCCCGTCTGCTTATTGCCCTGAATACTGCGTCGGTTGGTCTGAGCGTCAACAATGTCTCTGTTGATTTTAGTTTTGGGAGATTCATTAGGGGAAGAAGAAAAGGAAACGGAAAATGAGAGCACGTCGCCTAGTATGGAGAGGAATGCCATTCATCTGAGTCCGACCCAACGCTGCTCCATGTGCTTCTCGTGAGTGGGATCAGAGCGGGACCCTCTGCGATTCAACGTGTCCTCTGTTGGCATTCCTGTCCGTGCGTACATCATCCCAGCAGGGCCCGCGGGGTCGGACCTGAAACGTACACCCACAGCCTTTTAAAGAGGGGGGTCTGAAATAAACCGCCCGCCGGGATAAATAGCTCCGGTGCTCGGGGACTATTCTCAGGCGTCGCTCCCAACGCGCCGGGCTGCTGGAATAAAAGAGGTTTCGCCGGAACAATAGTGACCTTCTCAGGAATGCAGCATCCGGCTGTAAAGCACTACAACACCCCCCCCCCCCCCCCCTCAAAAGGGTACTTTTATCTAAATTTTATACTGGATTTATTTATTTTTCAAAATCACAGTTCCCATATGTTGGCTGCTTAAAGGAATGGAAACAGGGAGTATTAAAAAGTAAATGGGTGAATTTCTTTTAAAAACTTATATTTGTTCAAATCTAAACAAATGAGCAGCATTAAAAGCTCTTAACAGTTCCTGTTTTGAGGAAGTGGCGTAAGTCCCCGGCCCGGTGTGAACACCAGCCTTCTCCCCCCCGTTGGGCCTAGTTGCTCATTTTGTGCATCAACTCCGTGACGATGCAAATATGCTGTTAGAACGTCCACCTCAGCAGGTGGAACGCAACAACAAAGTGACACTCTGTAAAGGTCACCCGGCCCGGCTGCTGCCCCCCGCGGGTCGAGCTTGTGTGCTGTTGATAAAAAGGCGGATGAGCGGGGGGGCGCTGGAGGCGGGGGAGGGGGGTCACATGGCAGCGAGGTGTCCTTTCTCGCAGGTACGTGTCACGGCTTTGAGTGGCACTCGTCCCCCTCAGCCAGCTGCCCCACCGCTCCTCGTTTATTTTCCCAGGGGGGGGGGCGCCATGACCCGGCTCCCCCCCCCTCAAGCGATTGGCTCAGCGAGGAGGCGGAGCACACCGAGTGACGACAGAGGGATCGGCTTTAAAAGCAGCGCCCGAGGAGCAAATGAGATGCCTTGTTAACGCTCCTTCGGCGAGTGAGTCACGGCTCTTACAACAACGCAATGTTTACTCGGGTTTTGGCACGAAAGGCTTTCCCGCTTTACTTGGGAGTCATTTGAGAGGCGCCGTCGCAGCAACTACCGCAGGAGTTTGTAATATGTTATCTTAGATTTGACGTCATGTTGGACGCTGCGTCGCAGTGAAAACATGTTAGTTGAGGCCTTTGTGTGTCAAATCATGGAAACGTTTTACTGACTGTTCGCCAGTGCTGTTTATTATTATTATTATTATTATAAAGGCCATACAAATACTAATACACAATTTCTGATTCTGTGACACGTAGAAGGTGGTTTGACCTCTAGACCTCACAATAAATTCAATTTTAAATGACAAATGTGAGTATAAGCATGTAGTTATTGTCTTTAATTAATGGCCGTTTACCCGCATGTCAGTTAAAGACGAGTTCCTGTTCACAGGAAATCATCATTTCACACCTTTTCATTTGTTAAGCACGCAAACCCAGCCACTTCCCCCCCCCAATGACCCGCAGACACAAACCCACACGCCTTTGTCACGACACGGTCGCCTTCATAAAAGACGGTGACAGCGACGACGCTGCTGCCGCCGCCAGAGAGGCGCTTTTATCCATCCATCCATCCACCCCCCCCATCCATCCATCCATCGCCCCCTCCACACCTCCTCATCTCCCCCCCATCCATCCATCCATCCATCGCCCCCTCCACACCTCCGCTGGGGGCCCGTCTGGATGCTGACAACCGTCCACCTCCTACAGGTTTCCACCTTGTTTCTGTTCCGTCACACACACACACGCACACACACACACACACACACACACACACACACACGCACACACTAGGTAGGGCCGGTGTTTAGTGGGAGACGAACGCTCTGTGTGGCAACACGGCCCCGTCTGCTTTGCTGGATCACAGCACGGTGCAGGGAGCATGCCCCCCCCCCCCCTCCCCCCCCACAGCACCAGCTTATTAAAAGTGCCAAACTAATTAACGCAGGTAATTAACTAGTGCGTCCCGCGAGGCTCCGTGACGCGTCCGACCGGCTGAAGCCAAACAGACAGCGAGCTTAATCAGGCGGGGTTTTTTTTTTTCAGCGCGACTGAGGATCATCGCTCATCCTCTGTGATCAAAGCGGCTTCTTAATCCGCTGGCGCGATTATCTGCACGGAGCACTGTTCAAAGAGGAGTCTGACATTTGGGCGTTTTTCTTTCTAAGAAAACCATCTCATGAGAGAAGTTTTAAGAAAATAAGAGGATAATGTGAGCTAAGAAATGTCATGAGCACAAATCTCCAAACGAGGCGAGACGAGAGTCCTCGGGGACGCTAAACGCCAACACCGGGTTCAGCAGGGACATCACACACCACGTTCACCATCGGGTTGAACGGGTTACCATTATCCACCTGCACGTGAAGGCTGATGTATTTGCCAAAGTCTGACTGGATGAGGAACATGAATGGTTGAGCAAAACGTTGTGGTGATCCATCCAGTATTCGTTGAGACCAAGCGGCAGGCGGACCGCCCAAATATCAGCTGGCTTTCGCTGTTGAATGTACACATTTCCTGGTTTTCTTTGTGCCCTATGATGCAAAACGAAGGATCTTTCAGTTGGTCGGATAAAATTGGATCGTAAAGTAAACTCTTTGCCTTCTCTTGTGCTAAAAATGAAGCAGCTTAGCTCCTGCTTTGCTTACTTTATCTTAAAGTCCTCAGTATGCACACACACACACACACACACACACACACACACACACACACCAGAGAGAGCAGATTACTCTCGGTACAAATGATTTACGACTACTCCCCCCCCGGTCAAGTCTCATGGGCCAGCGATTGATCACAACTGCGACAATGGCGAGCAGACGGTCGTCTGAAGGAGCCGGCTCGCTCCAGGAAGAAATAACTCACTTATCTGGTGCTGGGATTGTCAAGCGCATGATTAGGCCGAGAAAATATGTCCCGGGCAAACAAACACGCCATTCATTTCACATAACGCGGTTACATCCAAGGGGTGGATGGCACACCCACACGGCCCCCGGGGCCACTTCCTCAACCTGTGTGGGAGTTTATCAATCCCTTTGTTGCACCCGTGCCCCTTTATGGCACCAATGAGAAGATTGGATCTATGGGTACAGCGCAGTGGGCCTTGGGAAGTCAGGAAGTGGCGAACGAAACAGGCCGTCTGGTGGGAGAAGATAAGGAGAGCTGAAGATCTTTGAACTCTGAACCCGGCCCATCTCTGAGCACCGTGACCTCAGCGCCCGACTCTGGAGGAAAACCGATGGCGCGGAACAGACGCACCTTTCAGCAGCAGAAGAGGGAACTGGAGAGCGGCGGACTTGAGACGGGAAGCGGCCCTCTAAGAGCGCGGCGATGAAAGGCGCTGCCAGGCTCCTCCGGCTCTGAAGAGGCTCTTTGTGTGGCCGAGAGCTCCAGGCCTCTGGGCAACACGGCCCCAGCTCGGAGGCCTTGAAGTAGGCAGCGGGGGGGGGGCAGCGTAGGTCACCCAGGGACAAGGCCGCAACATCAAACAGCCACAGAGGATTGGAGCGGCAAAACCTCAGTTGGCCTTTCATGTGCCGCGTGACGAGAGAGGGCAACCGGCCGCCAATCTGGATTTGCACTGTGGGGTCGGCGCGCACGCATGACTGCCCCCCCCCCCACACACACACACACACACACATGACACATGTCAAAGGAAATGCAGGAACTGCTCTCACTGGGGAGGCTTTAGTTAGGGTAACACGAGAGGGGATTATCTGTCTCGGAAGCCGGCATCGGTCTCCATAATCATTTTGGGAAGCGGGTGAGCGTCCCCTCACAACAAGCAAGTGACACCTTTTCCCCTCCGCCTATTGGCTCTTGGATGCACGCAGGGTGGGTCGATGCTCAGCGGCCTGTCAGCAATACGAGCAGCAGTAAACAACTGGGTGTTCTGAAGAGCAAAGGTCACGGTTTGGATTCCATGTCAACAGACATGATCCCCACTGATACCGTGAGGCGGGTTTACCCTGCTGAGAGTGTCAACGTGGAAGGAGACACAAAGTCTCCTGGATAATTCGGACTTCACTTCAGGTTTAGATTGCGGCCAATTAATTATTGTCGCTTTTGTCAATTATTTTGGTAAAACTTCTTAAAGCTTAAATCTTGTCACTGTAGCTTTAACCAATTGAAAAACACTCTATATGCGTAATTTCCCCAAAATTGAATAAGTAGCAAAAGCTTCTTTTGAGATACGCTGCTTTGTGTCCCATGTGTTTTAAATTCCCTTTAAATGAATATTGTCTGTGCAAAATAAGGGACTTTATATTTCAAACCCCGGATGCCTAAAATAACTCAACGTCGACTCGGTAATGGACCTTTTAACTTGAGCTGTTTGGCATTAAAAGGAACGTCTGTGGCCACAGATGTCGACGGGGCTTCTGTCCAGCAGGCAGATGTACGTCACTGGAACACAGAGCGCCGTAAAATACACTTACACAAACAAAATGGTTCTATTTCATAGACGTGAACCACCGCTGAAAAGACTGCACCACTTTAACAACCACAGATTAGAGGGAAAGTTAAACATCCACAATTTAATTGAATCTCTCCAATAACATGATTACAGTCCTTTGCACTGTCATTTGATTTTCCATGTTATCACTGAAGCCTTTTTTTGAAATTTAATTCCTCGAGTGAACCCCGAGGCTCATTAGCGGTGAGGGGAGGTGTTGGTTGACGGCGTGCAGGTTGATTGGCAGGTCTCTCCTCTGACTGGCTCTATCACACACAGTCAATCGCACAAAGTCCTCCAAGCCTTCGGCGCCTGCTGCCTATGTACCTGCTGAAAACGCATACCGGAGCTAATTTCTGTGATGGCTGGAGCTGATTTGATAAAAGAAAAACACCCTTGAGATTGCAGAAGCTCATCCAGCATGTAATTACTACCCGTCTCCTGGAGGGATGATCCGGTCGGAGGTGCTAAAACTAGTTAAGCGGTTGAATAAACAGGAAAGGTCTTTGAGCACACAGCTGCAATGACTTCATTTCGTAATGAAGGATCACTGGGCGCACACTTGTTTTGAAATGGCGTGCTCTTCAAACTAAGAAAAAAATAATGATGGCGCTTCAAAATGAATGAGAGGGGTATTTATTGACATATTTGAAGTCATAGAACAGAACCTAAAGCTCCTAAACCCGCCGTTTAGTTCTATAACGGTATAACACTAAACTTGGTCAGATGTTTACTAATGAATAGATCCCAAGACTCAGTAAGCAGCATTTAAATGTCGAAATTTGAGTTTCAATGTCAACATTTTGAATAAAGCTCCAAATCTACTCGGAAAACAACTGGACTCCATGAACCATCCCCATCCAAACGATGCACCATCCAGCCAGTAAAACAACAAACGTGCACAATGGAAACCCCACTAATGACTGTGAAGGGCGTGCCAGGCGTAATGGATTTGCCAGCCACCCCTGTGTAAAGCGTTCATATGAAGAAATACTTTCAGGGCAGCTGGGCTCCGCCAAAATCCCCAAAACAGCTCTGTTCTGTTTGCTTTTCCACAGGTTCCCATATTCGCGGCCCATCTGTGGCTCAGACTGGCTCTGCTACACACCGTGTGCCAATGTACACAGAACGCCAAAAACACTACCCTGCTCTGTGGTGAGCACCGGCCCGCCACACCCTGTCCACATTTCACATCGCAGACCCACAATCTCTGCGGCCTCCCGGCTCCCCGCGTGTGCAATCACACTGATGAGAGTCGTGGCACGGCGGCAGCAACGGCTCAGGGTGCAAATGTCCCATCACGTCGAATGTTACGCCTTCAAACCCCCCTGATCTCAGAACGGTCCAACACATCAGTCGCCATTTCACTTGGGTAAATCATGTGAATTAGCTTTAGCGAAGTTTGAACTTCACTACTCGGTGACAATAACTATATCATCACATAAACAAAATGATGTATTTTTAGTCTTTGGACTGTTAACGGGACAAAAAGAGACAGTTTTTTTGACAAGAAAGCCCATAGTCTGCTGATGTCCCATCGGCAGGGGGTTTTACTCTGGAGTTTGTCCTCTCTACATAAAGCAAAGCTGCAAATCAGCAGCTACACGGTGCAAAAATGGCATGAATGATTAACGACAGAGCGATTTGACAGAAAGCAGAGAAGGAAAGCAGTCATCACACTATCTCACCTTGCTCGGGGGGTTATCAGCGGCCAGAGTGCTCCTCGGGGGGACTTGGTAGATGCTCTGTTGACTCTGCGGACTCTGGAGGGACGGGGGCACCTGGTAGATGCCCTGAGCCCCCCCTGAGCCCGCCTTCTGCTGGTACGCCGAGCTCTGAGGGGGCGACTGGGCAGCGGCGGCCGGCGCCTGGGCCTCGAACATGGGTCCGATCAGCAGCTTCAGGCGGTTGCCGGGGGCGATGCCTTGGCGGCCGTGCAGGGAGCAGAGCCACCAGCCCTCCAGGCCTCCAGTGTTCTGCTCGATGACGGTGAGGATGTCCCCCTTGCGGAAGGCCAGCTCCTCGGGGGACTCCGGCATGTTGTCGTACAACGCTTTGGCCATCAGGTTCTGCAGGAAGAAGAAGGAAGAAGACGCTCTTTAGGCAAAGGCGATCTCACGCACATAAAGTCGTAGAAACCTACCGTCAAATTTGATTCAATTCTCGAACATAAAATAGATAGGTCTGCTTTCGTCCCACCACAAACTACCCCTTTAAAAACACTAGCGTCTACTTTACACTGTGATACTTATAGGACCGTTTTAAAGCGCTTTGGCGAATGACATGCGGGTGAACTTTTCCCTGTGCTTCAAATTACCAAGCAGGATCCCGTCAGCCCACAGCTCCACGCCAGATGCCATTTAGGACCATTCTGAACTTGATGGGATTTTCTCAGCCCGCTCCCTGCGCTCCGGGGCACAGTTATCCCGGTGAACAGTTAAGTGGCCAGCGAGGCGTAATGACTCAAAAAGGCACCGATTTTGGAGATAGGAAACTCCCCAGAGTCTGCCACTTCTGTGTCTGAGAGGGGCATTTAAAGACTAATTGCTTCAGTAAATACATCAGTATTTTCCCTTTAGCCTTTATTCATCCATGGAAGGGGTTAATTGACTATGAACGCTCCATTTCAGCTGCTTTGTAGGCGCATAATGACAAACTGGCCAGCACAACAGGCCTGCAGCTCGTATGCAAGCTCCAGAAATACAATTAGGGGATTAGAAGCCTTGCTCAAGTTGGATAGAGGGAAAGGAGAGCGTTTGGCTTTCCCATTGGCATGTACACCCCGACTAAATGTATTTTTGCCACACCAGTCAGACAATACAAAAAAAAACAGCAACACATCTTTTCTTGACATTTATGGCTTCTGCAGTAGAAAATATCTATTCTAATAAATCTGAAGCTACCGACAGAAAAACTGTTGCACACCAGATGAAGTAAGCGGAGTACAATAGAAATCCTAATTGAAGTGTGGAGCGGAATACACAATTGGCTCAAAAAATACTATCTTGAAAAAGTGAGGATTACCAGCAACATTTAAACAAAAAACTGCAACTTTGACTGTTCCTCAACAGTAAAAGTGTGATTCGATGTTTCCAGTTCTTTTGTCGTTCGGTGTCATCACGCCTCGCCCTCTAGAAGCTCTTTGTGGGAATAAGGAAGCCCTCTTTGATGCTTTCTTGAACCCTACTTCCTCTTTCCTACCCGGTCCGATTTATGCAGTTCCCACGTGAAACACTCTTCCACAAACGTGGTTATCAGTCTGCGGGCCGAGCCTCCCTATTGTCTGAGCGCGCTGCCACGGAACACTATGCAGCAACACCAGGCGCACAATCGCACCCTCACAATCAACCGCCCACCCCGGCTGTGACCCCTGGAGGTCGACTTCGCCCAATGGGAGCAGACCCAGATGTTTGCTCGTCATAATAATTCGGATCAAGGCTGGCAGAGGCATCCACGAGGAAAAGCCTAAACGCTGATTGCTGCTATTGGAACTACGTCTCCAATTAAGAGTTTATATATAATATGAAATTAGAGACCTTGAGCTTCAGAACTTTATTCCCACGTGTGCTACTTCTGTGATGCTTGTTAGTTCAGAAGCCACAAATCTTTTTATCCTAACAAAAAAAAACCGCTTCCTTAATATGGAGCTTCAAGTCCTGCAGACAAAGATAACAAGTTTAACAGCGTCACTGGTGGTCACGGGACGCAGCATAAAACGGTAATGTAGGTTAAACACTAAACACTAAGAAACTAGAGCAAAGCGGTGCGAGTCATATGCAACAGCATCGAGGACAAGCGTGAGTAGTGATGTTACACAACTGGGTGCAACAGAGGAGACAGAAAAACAGATCTGCATGAAGATCATTTCAAACCAATGCTGAGTGGAGTTTAGTGTGTTGTGACGAGGCTTCATGGTCACTTTTGTATAATGTCAACATCCTACTTAACTAATACGTTAACATAATGTATTTTAGTAGTCAAGAGGAAAGAAAAATGAAAATGTATTTTGGCAGAAATCGCTCATTTTCATACCCTGCAACAACCCCAAATCAATTGTCAGCCCAGACCATGGATTACTATAACAATCCCAATGTTAAAGTCCAACCCGGTAAGGCTCTTTTAGAACTGCCAATAGCTGGATAAAAAGCTCAAACCGTCCATGAAGTCTACAAACTACTCTGCCTTAGAAATGCTTCAGAAAACATGAAGATGTGCTGCATCATAACACATAACGTGGAGCGGTTTAGGGGCCCAGCTTGTGGGGGAAGTGAGTGCAGATACAGATCACGGTCAATTTCATAGTACGACCATTAACCGGTTAACCCCAAGTTAACTGGCTAACGCAGATCCTGTTTCTTCTGTTGTTTGCTTCAGTCAGAAGCGTGACTGCAATGACTCTAACTTACTTACTATTAAGCGGGCGTCAGATCTCTGGTGTGAACATCGGTTAGTCACATCACGGCGACTGCAGCGCTCGCCATTTATCCGCCCATAAACACATGTGTTGGCCCTTTGTTAGCGGGCAGGCGGGGGGGGAGGGGGGGGCACCTTCTGCCTCACCCACAGACCAAGATGCCCGCTGAGAGGCGAGGTGCGAGGTGCGAGGCGAGGTGCGAGGCGTTCGGTTGCTTCCTGTGAATAAGGGCTGTTCCTCACTTTGTATTTCAGATAGGAAGCTGTGCGACGCTTCGTACAAGCTATTGTCAGAACATGTCAGGATAGGGGGTTATTTCAAATGGTAATACTTTTATATATTTTAATATTTATATATGTTTTGTCTTACATTGCATTCTTCAAATGTACTTTAATAAGAAAGTTTGTGATTTTACCTTAATTTAACTTAACTGGATTTTACACGTTTACAAGAAAAATGCACTTTTTCCAGAAAAGAAACAACTGAAATATTTTCTTTAATACTAAACAGCTTTATTGTCATTATTGACAAATGTCCTGGCCTGCAACATCTGGTTTCGAGGACGGCTTCACGGCCTCTTATGTTTTTGCCATCAGAAAGCGAGGAAACGTGCACGTGGAACTCGATGCGCCGCCCGAAGCCCCCCGGCTGTCCGAGCCCCTCCCCTCTGTGGCTCACACGCCGACCCGGCTCTCTTCTCTTCCCCCGCCGTCTCGCCTGATCACAGACAGTATAAACGTCCGCCGTCGAAAGCCTGCGAGGACCATCCAAAGACACCAATGGAAAACCTTATGTAACGTCCCCGGCCTGCTGAGAGGACCCCGACTACGCTCATAGGTAGATGGAGGCACAACCCGCTCCACGCAGCAGAGACACAGCATCCCCAAGGATGCAAGGATGTAAGGATGTAAGGATGTAAGGATGTTTTCAACCCAAACAATCGCAACCTAATCCCCCCCCCATAAAAAGTGGCTGTGAGAAAGAAAACATTAAGGGCCGTACCAACCGTGACACGCGTCCCTGGGATGGTTTGCCGAACCAGCACGCTCATTTGGCCTCATTACACATGGTTAAATATAGAAAATAATTATAGTAATGGCGGTAATGAGGACCTGATGACTTTTTACGAGTCGTTCCTCAGAGTGCGGGTGAGAGCCAGTTCAAATAAATGGGCCGTGTGAAGGGCCCCGGGTAGGGGGGGGCTCATGGGAAGCGGTTCAGAGCTCAGAGCACATGGTAATTTCTTCATTTGGACGGTTTTCAGGAAGGTTGACCCTCTGATTACAGCCAAAGCCAGTGGCCCGTGTGTTAACGTAATTACACGGCAGGCTTGGTGAAACTTCACCTCCGCTATTTGCAGAAAGAGTTTTGCGGAAAATCTCACAAGTTAACGTAGCTTAGATTTTTAGTCAGGGAAACGTAATCCAAGACAACCGCTGCTGCAACACAATGACAGATTGATGCATTGCATGCAAGCAGCTGTAAATCAATAGTTTGACACAGTTACACGAGCGCGAATTGAGTTGGAACTAAAAACAAAACAAAGTCGATTCGGCCTTCATCAAGCTCATTGATTAAAACACGGACGTCAGTGGCGTGTCCAGTGGTTTCTTTTCCAAACAGCTGAAAAGCCTCACTTTTGGTTGTGCGGCTGATGTTTTGTATTCAGGACGCGGCACCGAGCTACTTCAGGCTGATAGAAACAGTCCCATTCATTCTGCATAAAAGACGATTGTTTCCACAGAGTAAATATGACACCGCTCCCTCTCCTCTCATTTGTGATTCACGAGCCGCCGCAGCGCTGCGAGGAATCCTCCGCAGCCTGAAACGTCCAAACAGCCACAGGGAGAGCGACAGGATGTGATGTAAGAGGTTGCTTCCAACCGCCCTGCAAGCCGCGACAAACCGCTGATGCTCAAAACATCTCCGCTTGAGAGCTGTGATATTTTTCAGTCATGTTAGTCTACGGACGGCCTGATCACAGGGAAACATGATTTGTGGCAGACTACTCGCGGGGCTACTTGTTACACTGTAGCTGGGGCGCTAACGTGCAAGCTATGAACTATAGCGCAAATTACTTACAATAACGGTCTCAGATTGTTTATCTCTTTCCTCAACTGTGCAGTTAAGTCCTCTCTGACATGTTCATAGAATTACATATTATTTCATTAAATAAGTAGACATTGAAGAGCTTGCTAACTAGCTTAGATAGCTTGGCTGCTAACCGAACACCGCTCAAAAGGTATTGGTACCTTTCTCGTAACTATATTTGAACTATTCCCGTCCTTTTGGAGCCTTTGACAGGAGGTTATTTAACACGTAGGTTACACACAGTTAATTGCGTATCGGGGGACAACTGCTTGCTAACAAGCTCAATCACCTGCTGGTTCCAGTTCAGGAAAAGTTGAGTTCCTGCATTTTCGTAATGTGCCGGGATCCATAATCCTTATTTACCTGATGTATGCAAACTGGACACTGAATGCAATGTGTCGTCAGCCAAACTTCTGTGGTTCTGGGACTATTCACCTCCTCGTTCTGTCCGTTCATCATATCCTTTTTTATTTCTTTAGTGTGACATAAACGACAAGGTAACTCGACATGGCGGTAACTCCTCCTTAGCCTCCAGCACTTCCTGCCCTCTGCAGGACCCAAAGT